AACTATGTATTTCACAGCTATTCAGCACAGATGTACTATCTACCTGGTGCCAATTCTCTGCAATCACGTTTACCATCCATCCCTTCACCAAAGTGAATGTTTGGCTACTATTTTGTTCATGGGTTTGTGGTGTGTTGTTTTTTTTTTTTCCCCTCCCAGCAAAACCACCACAAAACTGTTTCTCTGTGTGGGGTCTTCCTTTGTTGTGTCTGAACATATTTCACTCAGAGAAATGTCCTCCAGATCCACCCGTTGAGAGAGAAAACACAGGTTCCTTATTATTCTTTACCACTGATTAGTATTCCGTGACGTGTGCCTAACACGGTTTATCCTTTTCATCCGTGGAAGGATGGTCTTTGCGGTTGTAAAGAAAGCTGAATGTGTGGGCGCACTGATGTCACAGCCTTCATTTCTGCAGTGTAAATTATCTAGAAATGGGATTGCTGGATTATACGGTAAATTTAGGTCTGCTTTTTTACACCACCACAGCCGTCAGTATCTAGTTACGTTCCAAGCTCCCCAAGAATCAATGCTGTGTCATTACCGGGGTCATTTGAGCGTCACTTAGCGAGATCATTAACACAGTGAGTGGAACCATGGAATCCAGTATATATGAAATTAGGAAGATGGCGTAAGATAGGGATAGGCTATCTGATGTTATCAGGGTTGCTATTAGTGGGGGGACACACAACAACTGTGGTTACAATCTTTATCGTCTTTTTCTATGTTGTTAGAAGAGCTGCCTGAATATGCTCTTTGGTGAAATGTCTACGCATGTCCTTAATTTTAAAATTCTGTGGTTACTGAGGTACTGACAGTGTTTAGAAATCGGGCCATTGAGAGGTATGCCAAAGAAATTTGTCTCAAACTAAGTTCTTAATCACTCTCCTGATGGAGTTGTTTTTGTTTTTTTTATGAGCAGGAATGTTTCCTTTTTAATGTTTCTTTTTAGATCCCACCTCAGTTACCCAATTTCTCTCCTGCTGTGTAGGTATTTTTAACTACGTTTTGTATCTTTATTTATACCATGTGTCAGGACTATTATGTTGTCTCTATACATTTTATTTTATTTTTTTTGTTTTGTTTTAAGTTTTAATGAAAGTTTACAGAGAGTTTGTATTTCCATTCATACATTGTTGCACACTTTCCTCCCTTCCCATCTGTCCTCTCAGTTGCTCTTCTCCTTGAAGAGAGAAAAAAAAAAATCTTTCATTGTTATACAATCCTCTCCCCCACCCCCACCCGGAAGTCCACTTTACTATGCAGCTCTTATTCTGGACTCTTGTAATGAAAATAATATCTAATCATATAGTCCATTTAAATGGTTCTCTCCCTCATCTGTTTCAATGCAGTATATATAATTTATTGCCTCTTTTCTTAAGTTTCCCCCTAACCCTGATGTTAGTCCTGTTTTACAACAATAATGCAATGCAGTATTTGTCTTTTTGTAACTGAGGTATTTCACTCAGCATAATGTCCTCCACAGTCACCATTTTGTATAATATTTCATGAGTTCCTTGTTTTTCAAGACAGCATATACCACAGTTTTTCTATTCATTTGTTTGTTGATGGACACTTGGGTTGTTTCCAACTCTTTGCCAATGTGAACAGAACCACAATAATCAGGGGTGAGCATTTATCTGCTTGGGTGGCAGTTCTGGTGTCTGTAGGGCATATTCCCAGTAGTGGACTTGCTGGGTCAAATGGTATCTCTATTTGCAACTTTTTGAGAAAGTGCCATACTGCCTTCCATGGTGGTTGCACCATTTTACACTCCCATCAACAGTGAATAAGGGTTCCAGTTTCTCCACAACCTTGCCAAAATTTTCTGTTTGCTGGTCTGTTGAATTTTGCTATTGTTACTGGGGTGAGATGATATCGCATAGTTGTTTTGATTTGCAACTCTCTTAGAGGTAGGGATTTTGAGCACTTCTTCATATGTTTGTTTGCTATCTGAATGTGTTCTTTGGTGGAGTGTCTGTTCATATCCTGTGCCCATTTTGCAATTGGGTTGTTTACCTTTATCTTGTTGTGGTTGTCTCTATACATTTTAGATTTAGGTCTTTCATTCTGCTTGTGTGTATGATGTTAGGTGTGGACCTTAAGTCATTTTCTCTGCATCCTGTCATAGTTATGCAAGCTACATCTAATAAAGAGATTCCCCGCCACCCCTTCTCCATTTAATGGAACCTGTGACCCGATGCTGAAAATCTGCTGTGAATAGGTGACTGGATTTCTTTCTCATTTCTCAGTTCCGTTCATTTGGTCCACGGCTGTACCACTCTTGTTTAAATCACCATGACTGTGTGGCAGGGTCTTTATGAAATGAGAGTCATCCAACCCTCGGCCTCTTCTTCCAGAATGCTTTGCTGCTGTGGGGACTTTTTCCTTCTCCACATACACTTGGCGATTAATTCGTCCATCTCCTTTTAAAAATGTTAAGGCGATATCAGGGCTGCAGTCTAGTTCTTTGAGAAGTATCGATACTTTATGATGTGTTATGTTTCCTTTGATAAAAATAAAAGAAACAATGGCGCCGTGGTTATTTTCAAACTGCTTTGGATGCACCAAACGTTGGGACGGTGAATGAGAAAGATTGAAGAATGAAAGCCTTGAAGTGGCTAAAAATAGCAATCTGTTTTGGAGGAAGTGCAAACAGGGTGCTCTTAGAGGCAAGAAGAGAAATTCTTCCTCTCACATGTTTTGGGCATGTTGTCAGGAAGAAAGTGCTTTGTTATTAAAAAAAACCAACAACAACAAATCCTGCTTGGAAATGTGCAGAGTGAACAAAACAGATTAAGACCCTCAAGGAGATAGATTGACAATGTGATTATAGCTACGGGCTAGACCACGTGGAGAAAATGCTGAAAAGATGCATCAAAGGAACAAGCTTTGATCTCTTGTTCACATGATGGCTATGAGCAAATCAACCTAAAAGCATGTGCAGAAGTCTTCCTAGCCACACATGCTATGTCGTTTTGTATTTCTGGCGCTCTTTTCAGGGTTTCTTGTTTTCTTTGTGTAACTCTGTTCTGTGTAGTTTTCTTTGTGTTAACTATTACGCTCTTCCCTTCAAGACTCTTCTTCTTAACTGCCTCTAAAAACCCACTGGAGAGTCTGCTGTCAGTCTGTTCCCACGTGGTGGTACACAACAATTTCAACTGTTTGGGATTAAAAATTATATGGTCTTCCTGACAGGGTGGTGGTTGTTTTCTTTTTCTCCCCAAGAATGCTGTTTCAGTGTACACAAATGTGAATAAATGGTGCAGGCTGATCTGAGACCCTGCCATTTCGGGTGAAAACTCTTGATGAGTTTCTAGTTCTTTTTGTGGGATGGCTCTGTTATGTTTCAGACCTTATCTGTAGATAAGGGCAGGGTGATAAATTCCCTGGCCATGCCTGACCTCACTGCTCCTTTCTGACCTCCATGCGCTAGCTAGGACCTCACTATGTTTTGGATTACAGGGAGTGATAAGGGAGTTCAGGGAGTGATAAGGGAGTTCAGGGAGTGATAAGGGAGTTCAGGGAGTGATAAGGGAGTTCAGGGAGTGATAAGGCAGTTCTGGGAGCAGATTCTGAAGCATGCGGCCCCGGGGTGAGTCAGCCACACACAACTGGAACCACTTCAGAGCGGACAGGAACGGTGGACGTAAGAAACAACATTCTTGTCCCTGTTTTCAAGGGGAATCCTGTTAGCTGTTTTCCAGTGCAAACAACATTGTCTTTTGTGTCTTGAGTACTATAAGAACATCTTCTTCTTCTACTCTTCTTTTACGGAAAAATGCATTACCAGGAAAGAGTGCAGGAATGTATGAAACCTCTTTGGAAGCACTGAGATCATGTTGTGATTCTTGCTGTCCGTTTATGTGGTGGAACATGAGAATCGATCTGGTGATGTTGAAAGCAAGCACGGGTTGGATGTGAAGGTCAAGGCGTGACAGCGTATTATCTCGCTGATGTATTTGGAATTCCCAGTGGCTAGGATTTTCCTGAGTATCTTGATGTCTATATTCACAAACAGGGAATTCCAGAGGAGCGAGCTGGGTTGTCAAACCCAAAGGTAGTTCAACTCCACCAGCTGTTCTGCGGGCGACTAACGGCCAGTCTCTTCCTGTGCAATGAACATCCTTTGAAAGACAAGTGGGCCCTGAGCTGGAATCACACAGACCACAGTCCGGTGTGCGTTTTCTGATCTTCCTCTGTCACCCGTCTGCTCTTAGACTGCTCTGTCTTTTCCTTCTGAGGTTATTTAGCTTCTTTTCATACCATGGTCTGGCTTGCTCCCCAAGATAACCTCTAATCATTCCTTTCAAAGATGAAAGGAACTTAATCCGACTAGTACTGGTGGGAGGTCTCCTGAGGGGTTGGCCAAAAACCCCGTGAATGAAAATATCATTGCATGCCGTTCTCCATCAAGGTGGACACCCTGTCATGCTTTTGTCCAAGATGCTTTTCTTTCCATGGGTCTCTTTGATTCTTGAGCTCATTCCACGCTGTCCGTTTGGGTGGGGACTCTGTGTGAGGTCATCTGTCTGTGTGATCCATGCTTTCCCATCGGCTGGATTGCAACTTCTCATCCTACTTCTGCGGTGATGCATCTTATCTGGCGGGTAAGGAGCTGTGAGGCTGACTCTTGGGCTCATATTTTGAAGCCACCAGCTGCACCGAGGGGGTTATGGCCTCTGAACACCCAGCTAAGAGTTCGAATCGGACTGTGTGGAACCTTTAACAAATTCACCCACTTCTCCTCGCTGCTGCTTCTGGTGGCTGTGGGCCTCTTGTGCAATCCCCTTTCCCCATTTATTTGTAGGGTGACGGCATTCATTGTGGCCCTTTCTTCTCTTCTGAGGAATCCCTTTCCCCCAACGTCTGCACCCTGCTTTTCCTGGGACACAGAAGGTTTGGACAGACCGTGTTTTCATGCCCGTCTGATCCTGCGAAACTTCGCCACCTCCTGCTTGCCTTGGCCGATGCAGCAGTTTGCTGAAGAGGGTTCTGTGTCAGTCTCCGGCTCTGACGGCCGCCTGGGCTCTGTGAGTCCGGACGTGGGCGATGAGGTGCGAGGACTGACTGAAGGCCTTGCCGCAGTCGCGGCACCGGTAGGGCCTCTGTCCGTTGTGAATGCGGAGGTGCTTGGTGAGGGCGGACGAGTCTCCGAAGGCCTTGCCGCACTCCGTGCACGGGTAGGGCCGCTCGCCGCTGTGCGTGCGTCTGTGTGAGATGAGGTGGGAGGAGCGGCTGAAGGTCTTGCCGCACTCCTGACAGGTGTAGGGCCGCTCGCCGCTGTGCGTCCTGCCGTGCGTCCGGAGGTGGGAAGAGCGGCTGAAGGTCTTGCCGCACTGCTGACAGGCGTAGGGCCGCTCGCCGCTGTGCGTCCTGGCGTGCTTGTTGAGGGCCGAGGAGTCGCTGAAGGCCTTCCAGCACTGCTTGCACACGTAGGGCCTCTCGCCGCTGTGCGTCCTCCTGTGCGTGGTGAGGGCCGAGGCGTAAGTGAACACCTTGCCACAGTCCTGGCAGGCGAAGGGCCGCTCGCCGCTGTGCGTCTTGACGTGCGTGCTGAGGTGCGAGGACTGGTGGAAGGCTTTCCCGCACTGATGGCACACGTACGGCCTTTCGCCGCTGTGCGTCTTGAGGTGCCGGGACAGCGACGATGTCATGCCGAAGGCCTTCCCGCACTCCTTGCACTTGAAAGGCTTGCTCTTCTCAGGAAACATCTGATGCAGCAGCAGGGACAGAGGGCACGTGAGGGTCTGGCACTCCTTGCACGCCCGCTCATGCTGCCGCACGGCCGCCCAGAAGGATGACAGCCGGTGCAGATCTCTCCTGCAGCCGGTGCACCCGAGCCCCTGCACACCAGCCGTCAACGGGTCCTTCAGGGCTGACGTGCACACGAAGTCCTCGCCACACACCTTGCACCGGTGGGGTCTCTTTGCTGCCAGAGGCTTCATGGCACCGGCGAGGACGGAGGGGCAGTTGCAGGCTTGGCCGCAGTCCGCGCACTGACAGGCCGGGCAGCTGGTGTGGAAACGCGTCTGATGCGCGTGGGGCGAGAGCTGGGAGAAGACGTCCCCACACTCACAGCACTCAAACAGATTCCTGTCCGGGGGGAAGCTGTGCAGCACAGGAAAAGGGGGGATCTGGCCGGACATCACCCCGCAGACAGACTCTTGGCTGTTCATCCCAAGCTGCTGTCCTCCACCGCGGCTGTGAAAAACAGGGAAGGCACTGCAGGGGGGGAGGAAAGACGAGAATTCCCACGTCATCATTAGTAAACTCACTGAAAAGATACACTTTCGGTCTAGAGTTTTAACATCTTTCAGAGCTTAGATGAGTTGTGGGAAGAAACCCAAACAGATCTGTTCTGTCATGCTTTCTCCAAATGACAAGAGTTTACAGAAAACTGTGTTGACGTGAAACAGGCTTTAAATACTACACACGTAGCTGACCTTGAAAAGAAAAGGTTGCACTAGGAATAGGAGGGATTTGAAGGGGACTTGAAATGATCAGGCACAGACCCGCAGTAATAAGAGTCGTAATGATAAAGTCACAATAGTAATAATAATCATAGCTTCATAGTCACTAATTATATAACGCACGCTATTCATAAAGTATAGCAGGAAACACACAATGTAGAGAAAGATGGTATAAAACGCAGTCTCCAGGAATTAAAACACAATGTAAACGAATTCTTGTCGGCACACCAGCAAAAGTTTTTTGTAAAAGTTGCAATGAAAAGGCTTTGAACCCTTGATTTTATTCTATATAGATAGATATATAGATATAGATATATAGATATAGATACAGATATATAGATAAACAGAATGACCAACCAGAGAGACAGACTGGATGGATAGACAAACTGGATGGATAGATATAGATAGATACATAGGTAGATAGACAGACAGACTGACTGGATAGACAGACTGGATGGACAGAGATAGATAGATAGATAGATAGATAGATACATAGATACATAGATAGATACATAGATAGATAGAGATGGATGATATATGGATGTATGAATGGATGGATGGAAAGATAGATAGATAGATAGATAGATAGATAGATAGATAGATAGATAGGTAGATAGATAGGCAGACTGACTGGATAGACAGACTGGATGGATAGAGATAGATAGATAGATAGATAGATAGATAGATAGATAGATAGATAGATAGAGATATTAATATTTCTATATAACTATGTGTGTAAGAGAGGAATCAACATGCACATGTAAACGCCTATTAAAATCTGTCATGGCTGTGAACCCACGGATATCCCTTAATTTAATGGTTCTGAGAATGAGGACATGGACCTACTGTCCAGTTATTGAATTTGGTGTCCGTGTGTCAAGGATTTTGAATCACGTCCTCCTAAAATCCATGCTGGCTGGTACATAATGACGCAGTTATCCTGCGTTTTGTTAACTGGTAGGAAATTCACGGGGCAGGATGAGAGGCAGTGGATTTTATGACAGAGGCCCCGTTCCGCACGATGTCACCCCACAAGAAGATCGGGGAAAAGCCCAGGGTCCCTGCGTCCCCTTTTCTCTTGCAACAGACAGAGGCAGTGAGCAGAGAGGCGGAGGGCAGGGGACCCCAGGACACGACGACATGAGAGGCATCAGCTCTTCTGTCCTTCTTACACACTACCCAACTCTCAGATGCATACAGCAAGTACCTGAGAAGACCATGGCTTGGGACACTCACCTGACACGTCCCTCCTGGTTTCCACACTGACCGCTGGGCTCCTGCGCCCTGGACACTCCCCCCGAAAGGGATGACCGGGCATTACTCGTCATGACCGGCCCCGGGACACGCTCGCTGGACACGTTTTCTCCGTCATGGACATTTGCAGACACTGACCCCAGAATTGCTGTTGGGAATTAGAACAGGAAACAAAAAAAAGGAAGGAGTTATCGGGGTGGGGGCTTGTGGGAAGACTGCAGAGGTATTTTCGTGGATTTGATTACGTTATCACCTGGAAAGGCAGCTAATAACCAATATTGATCGGGAGAGCACCGAACGACAGGGGACGTGGTGTGCTGTGCTATCCAATCAAGCACGACTCCCAACCACGAAATGAACCGCAGAGTTGAGCCCTGTCCTGTCGTGCCCCGTCCCACGCTCCAGCCACGGCTGCTGTCACTGCGTCCATCTGTCTTGTGAAGTCTTCCTCTCTTTCTCTGACCCTGCACCTTTCCAAGCACGATTCCCAGGAGCAGCCTCTCCTAACAACATGCTCACAATCGGTGAGACAGAGCTTCACCATCTGAGCCTGCAAGGAGCATTCTGGGCGGCACTTTCTCCAAGACATAGCGGTTTCTCCTCTTGGCAGCCCACTGGATACTCAGTGGTAATGAGAAGACCTAATCACAATGACAGAACTAGACCCAACACACACGCAAGAGTCAAATAATAAGAAACAACACCACCCAGCATATGAGAATTGGGTCCCCAGGGACTGAGATTTCAGAGGACTCTGAAAAACAAAATCACGTATTTGTGAAATTGTCTTGACCCCCCCAAAAAGGGGTTTTTTGTTTTTTGGGGTTTTTTTTTTTGGCCGGGTGGACTGAAATGAAATTCCCTCCACACAAGGCCCAGGTTTACAGTCACCGCCATCGGGACTTAGAGAATCCTTCCATTGGGTTTCGGAGGCTGTAAGTATCAACGGGACACCTTGGGGTGGACTGGAACCACCAGCCACTTGGAGCCTTTCGGAGACCAGCCAGCACGCTGTGGAGTAGACACCAGATTGCAGGCAGGGCTGGTCCTTTAAAAAATGTCTACTTTCCTGGGACATCCTGACACACAGGCCCGAAATAGCCCTCCCTCTCTAACATCATAGGACATTTCTATAGCTTCTCTGACAAAAGAAAGGGGCCCAGCTTCCAGGAGGCTCCTTCTGGGACAGACGGTCAATGGCGGGGAACATTTCCCTGAGTTCACGAGACTAAGCCATTGTGGGTCTCTGCGGACAGACAAGAATGATATTTATGAAACCAGGGTTCTCCTTGGAGGCAAGGATGGGAAGATTCGGTCTCATATAACTTGGGCATGCTGTCAAGAGGGGCCAGTGCTTGGAAAAAGACATCATGGGAAAAGAAAAAGACATCATGTTGTTAAAGGTGGACGGTCAGAGAGAGAGAGAGAGAGAGAGAGAAGTCCTGGAGGAAATCGGAGCGACACCGCGACAATGGTGTGTCACAGACGGTGAGGCTGGCTCCGGAGAATGCAACATTCAGAGCTGATATTCAAAGGGTTCCCGGGGTCTGAACTCGACCCACTGGCACGGAACAACACAGACAGCAAAATAACTCAACATGATAACAGTAAAATAATCATGTCAAACTCCTCATAAACATTCAGCTCCCTCCAAGATTGCAAGTCACTAAAGCCCTGGATTCCCCCAACGGGGGATGCTTGATAGCTCTTACACGGCTTCAGGGGTTTTCATCTCAACAAGGAGGAACATTCATTGAATGCAGACAGTTCGACGCTCGTCGGGAAACGTAGACGCTACAGCCCACAGGCGGCGGCCTCGTGGTAAGGAGCTTGAGGCCAACACAAAGCGAAGCAGTTCGAATAATCCCCCGAGCTGGTCAGCGGAGAAAGATGGGCGATCTCCTCTAGTATAATCTACTGACTATGAAAGTCCCCTGCAGGGTCAGGGTCAGAGGCCGGCTCCAGGGGTTGCTACAGGACAGCAATGTCACAAAGGAGCACAGCCCCTGATGGCCGGTTCATGTCCCACAGGGAGGAAGCTGGGCTGTGCAGTGGCATCTCCCTTCACGATGGGCCCACGGGGAGAAGACACAGACGCCGTGCTTACCCACGCAGGCCAGGTGATTCAAGGTCTCCAGCATCACATCTCGGTAGAGGTGCTTCTGGGCCATGTCCAGCAAAGACCACTCTTCCGGGCTGAAGACCACGGTCACGTCCTCAATGGCCATGGGCTCCTGAAACAATCCACCCACTCGAGGTCAACAAAGGCGCACGGACAAGGACGCAGGGTGACCGACAGGCCAAAGAGCTGGGAATTTACAGGCCTCTGACACGACAGGCTGGGGTCTAACACCAGTTGACACGGGCCGGACAGCGGCCTTGTCCCCTCCAAAGCTGTGTCCACTTCCTCACAGATTACACCCTGGATACTCCCAACACACGGAAAGCAATGCCACCCCGTGTGATTACCATCCACAGTGGTATTGTTATTCAGTCCTCGCCGCGGGCTGCCCTCTGAGGGAACTTATTATTCACTCTTTAGAGTAGGAAACGGTCACAAAAATGAGCAGAATTGAAGAAAAACGCTCTGATTCAGGTCTTGGAGCCTGTCTTAGTCACCTAGTGCTGCCACATCCGAAAACAGCAAAAGTGGTTCTCGTGCTGGGAATTGCATGACAGCATTTCACAAGGCCTAAAATACTGAGGAGCAATGATGTCAGTTTAAGGACTAAGGTGCGCCTGATTCAGGTCATGGGGTTTTTTTTATTCACCATGCGAGGCGTCTGAGAGCTGGACAATGGACAAAGATGGGTCTGGAGACCCCACACCGACCCCGGCTGCGTTTACCTTTGGTGACGTGAGGAATGTGGCGTCAGCCTGACCACCCAGGATCATGTCATAGTCCATCAGGCCATTCACGCTGGAAGCCCCTCTGTCATCGTCCAGCCCGTAACCCGGCGGGAAAGGTGTGGCTGTGGTGTGGGAAGGGCAGAGGATCTGTGCCAAGGCCTGGAGGAAAGGAATGGACAAGGATGGATCTGGGGGTCAGGCTCTGTCTCCAAAGCCACATATAATCTCTTCAGATTCTTTTGGGTCATTCAACGCCAACCAGCAAGGCCCAAAACGGGGTTATGGGAGCCCCATGGTGTCAGAACATAGAATAGCTGACCTCGGGTGCCTGACCCTTGAAGAGTCACACAGGTCAAAGGGAAGTGGCCAGTGAAAGTGGAGCAGGACTAGGGAATGCCTTCCAGATCTCACACCCTCGGCCTCCTCCACGGAAGAGCCAGGCACACAGCACGCAGTTGGACAGGACTCACGTAAAATAACTTAATAACACAACAAGTCATCTCTAGCTTTACCCTCTTGGAGCAAACAAGATTGAGTTGAGGACTCCCCATTTGTGCCCACGCCTTCTGGAATCTAAGAGAGCGTCGTTGTCGTCACCTCCTGGCTGCAGGAGCCGCGTCAGGAAGAGAAACGGGACCGGGAGCAGAGGACAGAGCAGAGGACTGAGCCGGCCAGGGCAGATGAGGAAGGTGAGCTCACGGCAGCAGACGGCAGCCGAAATCCTGCGTCAGGGTGGATGCGCGTTCACGGCGGTCATCCTGGATGTCCACCTGCTGGGGGGACCCCGGCTCTCCCTCCTTCACTCCTCAGACCTGAAACACAACAAGGACGGGGAACAGACGGGGAGCAAGGCGTCCCGGCTCAGCCGCCGCCGGCCTGCAGGGCTCACAGCTGCCCCGTCCACGCAGCCCCGGGCACCTGCCCTCATTCGACAAGGGGACACTCGGGGATCAATCGCCGTTTCCCACAGCAGGAGAAGCAAGCGGGCTTGGCCAGGCTGCCAAACACAGAGCAAGGTCCACGCACACACCAGCGTGTGCCTGACTCAGGCCACAGACTCTTCAATCCCTGACGGGCCATCTGAGAGCTGGACACTTAATCAAGGTGAGAGAGGAAGAATTGATCATGCTTTTCCACTCGACTTGGACAAGAGTCCTGAACATCCCACGGACTGGCAAAAGACAAAAAGCAGCAGGTGTATCTCGGAGAAACTGCAGCGAGAGTGCTCCTTGGAGGCAAAAATGACACAGCTTCATCTCACAGCCTGTGGGTATGTTGTTAAGATGGGTTATTTCTTGGAAAAGGACATCATGCTTGGGACGGTGGAGTGTCAGCAAAGGAGAGGAAGACCTTCGACAAGACGGACTGAGAGAGAGAATGCAGCGATGGGCTCAGGGGTGTCGGGGATGGTGTGGGACGCGACAGGGCTCAGATCTGTGGTTCGTAGGATGGGGGACCGGCTGTAGGAGACTCCACGGCATTTACCGCCACCACCACAGCAATATATGCACCGTGACTGTCACATGGGTGCACTTCCTGGTCACTCAGACATTTTCCGGGGCTCACAAGGACTTCATCATCATGGTTCGTGCAATTTTAACTAAATACAGCTTGATTTCGCTTAGACCATTACAGTCAGGAACTGGGATTGTTCCCCACGTCTTTGCAACTCCTATTTTTCTCCTTTGCTTGACTTGGTCTTCACCCCTATTCACCTCAAAACTTGACAGCTCCAGTCCCTAAGATTTAAGAAATCTAGAAGGATGCCTGCACTCTTGTCTTTTATACCAGGATGCCTGCACACTTGTCTTTTATACCAACAAAGCATCCTAAAAGAACTAGCTTTTCTCCACCCCTATTCAACCTCAAAACTTGACAGCACCTGTCCCTAAGACTTAAGAAATCTAGAATGAGGCGAGCTCTGGTGGCCTAGTGGCAAGAAGGTGCACTGCAATCCCAGAGGTGCACGGTTCCAATCCCCCAGATGCTCTGCTGGAGAAGGACGAACAATCTCCTCCTGTACCAGTCACATCTGATTTGACGGTACACACACAAAATAATAAAATAAAATTGAAAAAAAATCTAGAATGCCTGAACGCTGTTTTTCAAACTCAAGATACACCATGAAATGTCTAGCTTTTCTCTACTCCTATTCAACTTCAAAACTTGATATCATCAATCCCTAAGATTTTAGAAACCTCAAAGGATGCCTGAACCCCGTCTTTTAAACTCACAAAGTATCCTAAAATGACCAGGTTTATTCCAAGGAGCCATGTGCCTCTGTTATTACCACTCTGTCCTACCAAGTGTCCCCCCCTCCTCTGCAACCCTCATCATTCATTTCTTACGCTCAGCGTCAATATTCTCTGACACTTATGATCTTTAGGTCACGATCTTCCCAGGAAGCACTACTCTTCTTATCTCTAACATCACTCTCTCCATTCAGTTTACATCCAGACGTTTACACATGATATTTGCAGCATCAACGAAGACCTCTGTCCAGTAGGCAGTACCTCAAACCCCACTTTGAAAAGAGCTGAAATCAAAGTCCAAGTATCTTAACAAGATACACAAGGACATGAATGGAAGAGATGCATCCGCTGATGTATGCCCTGTCGTTCAAGAAACAAGCATTCTGGGGAGCTCTGGTTAGTGGCAAGGAGCTGCAACTACAATCCCAGAGGTGCACAGTTCGAATCCACCAGATGCTCTGCCGGGGAAGGAGGGACAATCTCCTCCTGTACCAGTCAGATCTGATTTGACGGTACACACACACAAAAATAATAAAAGTAAAAATAAACAAGCATTCTATCAACGGATGACCCTGGAGTATCTACAGGGCAGCATTCCACCCTCTTTCTGATGCACAAACCATCTCAAGTTCGAGGCCTCTTCACACCCTTCCTTAAATGGCCTGTAACAGGCTCCTGCCTGTGGTCCCTCAACTGCTGCTGTCATTTCTGTAGAAGTAGACTGATTAAGAGAAAAAGCAGAGAACGCCAAGGACCGAAGAGAGTATGGGACAAGCTGTGGAGACTGGGAAATGTCACGGCCTCTGTGAAAAATTCCAACATGCTTACAACGTTTACGATGCAACTATGCTGAGCCCAGGAACTCCCCATTTCTAGGAGAGCTGGTGGTATAGTTGATCACTGGGTGGTGAGGTTACGAGCCACCGTGCCAGAACTCAGAGCTGAAGCTCTCCAGCAGGTTTTCAGAGGCTGAAAGCGGAACAGGAGGAGACTGCCAATATTTCCCCTTCACGGCTAGCAGTGAGTTCAAATTGGCTGCCTTTGAGTCGGCAGGACACCACTTTACCCACGAAGGTAAGGGAGTCTGAGCTCACCTAGCAGGTGCAATGGAGAAAAGTCCTTCACTAAAATATTACAGGTGAGAACAGCCCACGGCACCGGCTGACTCTGTTACAAGGAGTGGCTGTGAGCCTAACAGTGTCTTGACCTCACCTAACAACACATACAGGTAGACAGTCAAAGGTGTGCAAGTTGATACACGAGCAGGTCATTCTGTACCAAGGTTCACAACAAAAGAATTCATCACGGGCTTCAAATAGGTCAAGAAAATGTGATGCAACCATGGAGACAAGCAGAAACCGTACACGTCACGACGTGGCGGATTTTAAGTCTGAGACATATAGATGAACCGTGCATGATCTCATTTAAATAACAAATCCAAAATAAGCACGTGAATCTGCAGGTCAAGTGGTGACCAAGGTGGTTCGGACGGAGAAGGGAGAGTTAATGTGTAAGAAATCCTCCCAGTCTGCTAGGACCGACATAATAACAAGAAAAACCGTGCAAATGGAAGAGCAATGATGGTTGTACAATTTAATTAAAAAAAAAAAATTACGGAAAATGTTGTAAAAATATGGTGCAACCACATTGGAAGGCGGTATGGCGCTTTCTCAAAAAGTTGCAAATAGAGATACCATTTGACCCAGCAATTCCACTACTGGGAATATACCCCAAAGAGACCATAACTGCCACCCAAGCAAATATAGGCATTCCCATCTTTATCAGGACTTTGTTCACAATAGCAAGGAGTTGGAAACAACCCAGGTGCCCATCCACAAACGAATGGATAGAGAAGCTGTGGTCTATTCACACAATGGAATACTATGCTGCATTGAAAAACAAGGAACTCATGCAATATTATTCAGAATGGGTGACCACAGAGGACATGATGCTGAGTGAAGTACCTCAGTCACAAAAGGACAAATACTGCATGGTGCCACTGTTGTCAAACAGGAGTGACCTCAAGGTTGGGAGAATGAGAAAAATGGGTTCAACAACGTATACTGCATTGAAACAGATGAGGGAGAAAACGGTTTAAAAGCTATATATGATTAGGTATTTTTGTTATGACAGGAGTCCAGAGCAAAGGTTGCATAGTGGAGTGGATCTGGGGGAGGGTTTGTAAAACAATGAAAGAATTTTTCTTTTACTTTTCCAAGAGAGGAGTGTGCTGAGGGGAGAGTTGGGAGGGGAGAAAAGTGCAACAATGAATGAATGAATGGAAATACAGAGTTTCTGTAAATTTTCAGTGAAATTAATAATAAATTTTTTTAAAAGTTCTAAAAATAGAGCAAAAATGTATAATAAAAATGGGGATTTTTTATGCACAAGGTTTCACTGTATATACACTGCCACACAAATATACAAAAAGATGTCATGAGATGACAGTATTTTATTATTATTACTATTAATTTTAATGAAAATTTACAGAGATTTTGGATTTCCATTGATTCACTGTTGCACTTTTCTCCCTGCCTGCCCCTCCCCTCCAGTTCATTCTAAAATGACAGTATTTTTAAACATTGAATTCAATGACATAAAAAAAAATCTTTTTTTAAAAAAAATGACAACATTTAAAAAAATAAAATCAATTTCTTTCATGATTAAATAAAAGCAGGGGCATAGAATTCATCTCAACCTCTGGAAACAAAATCAAATGGACCAAAAAAAAAAAAAGATAGCAGGGGAGTTAGTTAAGGACTTGGTCACAATTAAATGCAGATGTGTTTATTAACTACCTTGCTTTATGTGGTTTCCAATACTGTTGCCTGTTTTGGGGAAAAGATTGGATTTCAGAGACACAATGAACGAGTCCCACCTCCAGGCAGGTAATCGCGACCTTCTCTGTCATCACACATCTTCCTACCTGACTCTGGAATTTTGTAAAATGATTAAGACAAGAGATGAGGTCCTTTTCCAAACCCTGTTTGGAGGTAGTGGGGCCCCTAGAATCAAATGTTGATTCTTTCAACTGCCCGCGCCTCCCATCTTTTTTCTCCATCAATCTTCTTCCCTGTTCTATCTGAAAAGTACACTATGCTCTGAAAGAAGCTTCAATGGTTTTGGTTTTCTTTTTTTAACTTTTGAGTGACGCTTCAATGTTTTACGAACGGTGGCAAAAAAAATCTTGTTCAATTATTACCAACATGAATCAAAGGTATGTGCTCTCTAGAAATCTCCCGTGGCCTAAAATGATATTGCTGTCATCATCATAAAATATTCTGGACTGTTATCATGCAAATGATACCTAACCATTTATTTCTTTGAGACCATTCTTTCCAGAGGTGCATAACAACGTGGACTGGAGGGCCAAGAGGGAGGAAACTGTGTAACAGTCAAACAATCTTTTTAAAGAGAAAAGCGAATTGGAGGTAGAGAGGAAATTGTGCAAAAAAAGAATCTTTTTAAAGAGAAAAGCAAACGGGGGGAGGGGGTAGGAGGGAAATTGTGAAAAAATAATATTTTCTCTTTTTTTTTTTAAGAGCAAATGCCTTATAAACAAGAATCCAAATATTCTTTTTAAAGAGAAAACTGAGGTGGAGAGCAAAGGAGTAAAATGTACAACCATGAAGGAATGGAAATCTAAACTGTTCTGTAAATGTGTGTGAAAATAGCA